CACAGAGATGCAACGGACAGAGATGTAATACAGAGTCACGTTACTGCAACAATTACCCACAGCCTCCTGGGGTAGTTAATGATAATCAATGCGCAGAATTATTATTATTATTATTATTATTATGTACTTATTATTATGGATGCTCAAAACTATACTGCGCCTGCAGAGTCTTCTGTTTCTTGCTACTTCAAGAAGTTTCCCCTACGTAACTGGTCCCATAAGCACTTCTTTGAATATACTAAGCTTCATAAGTTAACGAAAGTAACAAATCTCTGGTACCGCGATCTTGCCATTGTACGAGCTCTTCCTGGTTCTCCTGTCGATAAAGAATTATACCTTGAGATTGTCGGGAGGAAAATGGCGGACGAACATATTGTTAATGAAAAAAAACGTAAATATGCTGCAGATGAAGTGCACACTGAATCTGTAAGTTTTCCCATTTTATGTATTATCTACAGGAAACATTGCTCGGGCTTACTTTATACCCTATTCCTATCAGGTCACAATTTCAGCAGAACTTCTCAAAGACTCTTTTGTTCACCATAAAAAATATACCAAGCAAAGGCTGGATGCAACTGAATATATGACGACACCAACTCCCATCCCTGCAGTCACAGTTTCAGTATGCATTATTATTTATTATTATTATTATGTTAAATGATTCATTCAGCTTGCATGAGATTGTAACAGATTCATTTAGGCAGCAACGACTTCTGGATGGAACAAAAGTGACGATGAGAGCTCTGATAGTGATGATACTGATATATTGGATGTGAAGAATATTTCATTTGATCAGTTTGTTGATGATGAGGATTTTGTCCAGGAAAAGCTTTTATTAGACCATCTGGTTGATAATAATAAGGATAATGTGAAAGACAATATTGTAAATTTGTTCCTTTTGTTTTTCTGCAAATTGGTTGTTTAGCACTTTACTAATAAACATGTTTCTTTAGTACATGTTTCAAGGAAAAGATATTTGCTCAAAATTTGCTTCATATCGCTCAAAGGCATTGGAAATAGGACAAACATCTGGTTTGTTGATTTCAGCAGATTATCAGGAAATATTGTAAGTTCTCACTTTAGTATTAGGAAAACATGTTTGTTGTGAATATTAACATAAACATTAAACAACTAAAAATCTCATTGTTCAAACATCAGGAGCTTGTCCCATATTCTTCTGCTCCAAGCCAACAGTTTCTCTGATTTACAGATTCAAACATTCTCCAGAAATATTTTGGAAGGTTTATGGGAAAAATTGAATGACACATACATGACTGAGAAAAAACTCAGTACATGCATTAAAACAGTATTTCGAGAATATGTTGAGGTATAATATTAATATTAATATTAATAGAGCAATTTTTTCAAAGAAAAGTTTTCACATCATATTCCTTTGTTTGCACTAGATTGCTCTTAATAAAAATCTTGGACTCAAAGAGGTAAAGAAGACAATTAAGACATCATATACAAAGACCTTCACAGATCCCAATGATGAAAAAATGTTTGACACAATGCAATTTATCTTTTCACAACTGTAAGTTCAAACTTGTGATGTCTTTTCCCTGGCCGTTTTCTATGTTTAATGCAGTCTGCTTCTATCTGAAGGGCAAGAAACATTCCTGTAAGACCATTTGATGACCTTCTTAGTGAGGGTACTCTAACAGCTAATATAATTAGTCCAGTGTTACGTGCATTCTTTCACAATGTCACTATTCATCCAACAATATGGCCAAACACAGCTAGCCAGAGTGCCAAGATCCGTAAACTGGCTAACCTTGATGCATCACGAGCAAAACAGCCAGATATGGTTGGGGTAGTAGTCAATAGCAACAAAATCCATAGTGAGATGATGTTTGGGGAGATCACTGGGGAGGGGAAGAATAATAACATCAAAAAAAATAATCTTGACCTCATAAGACTTGGTGTCTTTATGAAGGATGCTTTAGATGCTAACATTCAAAGGACAGGGAGTGAGTGTGTGGAATTCGCATGGCAAGTAATTGGTAATGGTCGAGTTATTGCTTTTTATTGCACTTATTCATTACTATTATCCCAACAGTGTAACTATCCAAATTGATCTTGCTGATACATGAAAATTTGAATTACCAAAAATACACCTTTTGTTTGGTTCATGCTTAACCTCTAACACATTAATATTAATACGGTTGGCAGTAACAAAATGGACTGCCTATATCATGGTTCTTGTTGCCGCAGGGCTTTATGTCATGATTGAGATTGGTCAAACAGAGCTCCCAAGATCTTTCCGGACCTGCGGACAATTCATTGACACTATCGATGCATTGCTGACATTTACGGTACGTTAAATGTAATGTCTCTTTACCTTTTCAAAATCTAACAAAGTGACGTCTACATAACCCAGGCGAAATATGAGGAGGAAGTAAAGAAATTTCACGATAAGATTAACGAAGAAAAGGAAGACTCGGGTAGCAATGTAAAAGTCAGCGCTTTGTGCAGACCTACTCTTGGAACACCTGTGTTTCAACAATTGATAAAAAGAAAATAAGTCGAAGGAAAGAATTTATACGATGTTCTAAAATTCTTAAGGTGTAGTCTTTAGTGTGTGCTATGCTTTATTCTAAAGTAGTTTATTACGTTTTGATAGCTTAGTAAGCGGATTTCCTAAGTTGAATCATTTATAGCAATACATTCGCTTCATCACATAAAAAATAACGGTTTTCTCGTAAATCCTCACGCGCGTAAGTCAAGCAGAATAAATCAAAATTTACAAAGTTCTGTTAACAACCTTACTGGTATATCGACTTTCCTTTTCGATACGTTTACAATAGACGGCATCCTGCTTTAATAAATCATCAATATAGTGTCCACGTCTGGACGCTTATCAGGTATTCCTCTGGTGATCGTAGTCCACCCACAATACCGCATATTAAACTTCTATCAATGTGCTATTAAATGGTGGTTACCAAATAAATACATAATGCTAGAAGACAAGATCAACTATCACCAGGAGTTCTATGGACGCATTAACTTTAATACCTACCCAAACGACACTCACTTCCAATCGTCGTAAACTTATTTCCTGAATCCTCAACTCATGAAACGTTTTCCAGATACCGCAAGGCTATCAACTCGTCAAACGCTTTATATAGCAATATCGGGAATATTATCGCGATCAAATTGTGAGAAACCGACGTTTCCCGGATAAGGTTCTTATCTTTTCGTGTGGTAGCATGCTTGGAGTTTTACTTGCTTTATTGCATCGAAACAAAACCGGAAAAGAACAAGTCATTGACGGCTGGAAAATCGTGATTATTTCACAGACCTTTCACGACTCAGGGCGTATCATTTCTTATTTACTCTATCGACTTTGTAAATCAATGCGGAGCTTATTTTTATGAATTATACGAAACGAAGATAGGAAATACATGGCAGTAGTGTGTTATAATTGATTCCTAACACCTTGTTCGCAGATGATGTGTACGCGAGCCACAATCTTATGAAACACTTGTAACTTTCTCCGGAAACATGACAATTCTTCTTGGTCACAGATGAAGACTTTATTTATATCCGTGTTTCTGTCAAAAAACGCAAGCCGAATGGTGTGACTTACGCTAGTAATAGAGATCGAAGAAAGGTGACAACCCGCGCCTATATTCAGCCACACCAGCTTTATGTGCTCGGTGATAGGCCTAGCAACGAATGGTTCTGCTGATAGTATAAGAAGCATAATAATACTGATGAAACAACAGCAGAAAAACTGTTATTACCACGCGGAAGGGCTAGGAAGGGCGTATTGATAGGACTCGACTATACTGATGAAGAGAGTGATGAATGTGTGAATAACATCGAAATTATGAAATTGAAATGTAGAGAATATATGAGTATACTGTATATTATAACAGTACAGTACATACAACACTTGAATTTTGTAATAGAAAGGGAAATTGGTCAAGAGCAGCAGAATTCAGGCTGCTCCATGTTAATAGATTCTTTATCAACGCTCTTCCGCCCACCCGCTTTGTTACTTGATCATATACAGGCTTCGCTTGCAACCATCGACGGAGATACAGCCAGATATTGCACCAAGAAGCTTCTTCGTTGATGAAAGATATAATAAAGGAATGAAATCTTTCATCGCGACTGTAAAGCAACAGGAAAATATACTTTTCTGGTATCAAACTTCGAAGTTTTAAACTAATACTAAATGTGATTGGGTAGACAAATAGATTCATTGCAAAAGCTCTATTCTGATAACGATGATGATGTAATTAAACTTGACAGTGAAGATAAATGAAAGACATCTTGCGAGTTGTAATGTTATTTCACGGAAGCTGAAGTCAATATCGTCAAACAAGCATTTATATTAAGTTCTAATTACCCTGCACACCAACCCATCGTCAACTTTAAATAGATAGTAGTTTTATTTAGCAACAATTTTTATTTTTTTAAGTGCTTTCTTTCATTATCAAACAATAAATTCCTAAGGAAAAAAAATAAGACTTGTCAATCGCGACTCGATATTAATACCAACAATTTTTTTCAAACATCGCGTACCAAATGCTCTCAGAAAGTCCTTCGTTATCTTCTTCGCCTGATCTTTATCGTCTTCATCTTCGTCCACGGCATAATTAGGATAGTATTTAAGGTATTCGAGACATAGCGCAATTATTTGATCTATACAACATTTGACTTCTGTTGGACATCGTAAGATGAAGCTTAAGGCAACGAAATTTCGTTCAATAACACTGCTTAATAATCGTGATAAATAAAATCAACCTGTAAACTAATAATCATCCATTGACTGAGGAGGTTCGAAGCACGCCGGACACAGACCGATTGCCCTAGCTTTAACGGTCATCATCTTTGCTATGAGCTAAATCCGCGTATATCTGATTAACTTAATGCGTTAGCTAGTGTAAAAGTAGGCCCGTGTACGAAATCCAAGGGAGTTGGAAATTTAAGTCAGTTCAGTTTGTACGCGTTCTTAAAGCAAGGAATTAATAGAGCAGAACGTAGACAAAAAAGGTGTCACTGCATGGACGGTAGGCCGAATAAAATCCGTAAGTGAGACCCGCGTGGTAGGCGATACCGCGTCGAAGACTCACGTAGGCGATACCGCGTCAAGTGTGGAAAGCAAGAACGGGGGTTTAGGCCGGAGAAGACCACACTTTACCATGCAAAATGCTGCTCGGCTTTTAGTCGAGAGAGTGGCCAGCTCTCATACAGCATGGACATCCTTACCGTCGATGTGTGTTAAGTCAAGAACGGGTGTCATTAGTCATGTGGGGAGTCTTTAACTACCCCAAGATCTGTTGCGCTCACATGACATTTGACCAATAAAAAGTTTTACTATCCTTGTGCCCCGATGGTGTGCAAAATTTTGCTTCTTCATCTTAAAAAGGAAAGCGCTAAGGGGCATTACTTTATTAATACACAGTGAAACTCGATGTCGGATTTGGCCTAAGTCGGACAAAACCACTCAGCCTTTATTTTTTATATCTAACTAGAGTAGCAGAAAACCTGCTGCGCAATGCAAACATGCGCGTTTTCTATTATTTTGGAAACTTTCAATAACGTAATTAAAGGTTATATCAATTCGAGTCGAAAGAAAATAAAGAAGCAAGCAAATGTTTTATGCTTCAAGATAGAATTGGGGCTGTCTAAATTTTCGCAATCTAATGAAACTGGAAAATTGAATTATGTTCCGTTCGCTTTAGCCTTTAAAAATTTTTAGTCAGCGTGTGGCTAAGGATATTCAATATGGAGTACAACGATCCGATTAATTAGTGGGACTAGTATATAATCAGAAAGAAGTCACATTGGCAAAATGTTAAGATTAATTTCCAAACAACGCAAATAGTAAAGAAGCATATAATTAGAACTACGTACATATTAGAGCAATTATTAAACGATGCTTTATTAGAGTGATATACGTTAGGAACCTACAGTATAGTATAGTAAAATATATTAATTATTGAGAAAAAAGAAAAGAAAAAGAAAGGAAGCTAAAGGCAATAAAAACACATTGTTATTGGGAAATTATATGCACTGACAAATGTTTCCCCGATAATAATTAGACAATTGTTTTCCGCGAATTAATCTAAATCTCGCAGAGTTGTTTGCTGGATCTGGATGTATTGCGATTATTGCTTGGGGATTACTTCTAGTTGAAACTGTAAATGATTCGGATGTGGTGGAATCAATGAGATGTGGTTTCATTATTGGTAGAAATTTTTTGTAATATGTTTCGGACAATAGGAATTGTGAGGGAACGACTGTATTATTCTGGTCTGTTATCGATGAAGTGTTTTTGAGTATAACGGAAGTAGAATTCTGCAGTTCGCAGTAAATCATATTGTTGTACAACTCTATCGCGCCCTCAGCTTTAATACGAGCGCCGAAGTTGTATGATTCAGAAGACGTGTGTTTGAATCCTTGAGAATCTTATTGTGTTAATCAAGTGCAAACAATTTGTTGGACTCTTTTTGTTGAATCGATATTGTGGTTTGTACGGTTTTCAGAATAGCTGACGTATACGACCGAGATTATTTTGAACGATTGACATTGTATGTGTGGTAGAATAATTAAAAGCTTAATTTTAGTGTTCAATGCTAAATGAACATTTTCTTTTTGTACGGGCTTAGTAGGCTCGCAAACAAAATTGTTGGGCCTTCAATTTGGAAGTAGCAGTCTGTACAATTTCGAACAATTGGCATATCGATTCGGTAGTTTGCTTGTTGCACTAGGATATGAGCGATGTTTTCTATTGACTTAGAGAATATAATTGGAATAAAGCGTATGTTGACAATTCTTCCTATGCACCGAGTACCAGGATTGCTAACAATTGACCAATTAACACACACATTGAGTTAATAATAGTTTTCTCCGTTCATGACTTACTTCAATTGGCAATAGGAATATATATTCTTACTGTCAGTGTTTATTTAATTATTAAATCGAATTAATAACTTGCTAACGCATTAATTACGTCGTCAATCAGGTATCTAAATCTTATTCTCTAACCGTCTCTCCTTTTTTAATAGAACTAATTTCGCAATTACATCATCGAGAGGAATTGTCTCCGCCTTGGCTTTGACATCAGCATCTCGATTACGAACATTAACCGAATTCATTTT